ATCTAGGGTGAGACAAATATATTTTTAAAGGATCTATATTAAGAGTTGTGCCTTTCCTGCAATAATACCTCTCTCACGTGGGTGTCACCCAATTCATAATGCTGGCTTATCAATCTACTTCTTATGACTAAATTCTACTCTGACGTCCGAACAGCATCTGAGATATTTTGTAGTCAAACACATTTTGGCCACTTGGGCTAATTATTGCAGTGGTAGTGTCCTTCCACAGTACTACTATGTGATTGGCCGTGCTACTAGAAATGACTCTTAGTTTCTAAGGTATTGCCTGCAAGCACCAATGGTGGTTTTAGAGCCCTGTCACACCTTGCTGATTTATCCAGCGTATACCTGACGTCCCAGAATCTCCTAAAACAGTAAAATACGCTGAACTTTCTATGTACTTTTCAATTTTGGGCGTATACATAGAGTATTAATAATGAGTCCAGAACTTATCTCCAACGACAGCCTAACTTATACATAACGCACAGCAGCATAATGCCCATGAAATGATGCACTAGCGAAACTACGAAACATCAGCTAAAGCTGAGGGGGGGCAGCGATGCACCCGGAGGCACCCTGTCTTCATAAAAAGATGTCTCTGATCGCGGTTTTATCCTAGCTAAATAAATAAATAAAAAGAAAGAAAGAAAGGTTAAAGTGGCAGCAGATTCAGCGTCATGTCTGCTAGCAAGTTTGTTGGTGGTGGGCGTGAACGCGGGGAGGATAAATCACTCTCCCACTCTCGGTTAGCCCTATGATGGAGGAGAACTGACGATTTCCTCCTGTGAACCCCCTTTACACCAAAACGCTGCCAATATGCTATTATACAGTAGCTGGAAGGTAGAAACACGTTCAGCGCTCGTCTGGATAAGATAAGATGGTCGGATAACTGACCTGTAACCTATGGCCTACGTATGGCGAAACGTCGGCGTACTCACCGTATGTCGACATGTGCCAGCGTACCTAAATAACATATCCAACGTATGCCAGCGTTTTTGCCAGATTTTTTGTAAATTGTCAAGGTGTGACGGGGCTCGTAGTAATCTGTTGTTGGGCTTAATTACTGTAGAAAGCTTTGATTGTTTGGAGAAAGAATTGGTTTTGATAAAACAGTGACTGTGGACATTAGCTTTAAGTAGAATGGCTGCTCACTTTTCCAGGATTGGGAGGGGCTGCTGCTCTGACAACAAAATTCCTAAAGACATGTATGCATCAAGTAGAATCAATTGAAATAGAAATAGAAAGTCTTTATTTGATTATCCTCAAAACAATTAGTTTTAAGAGCAGCTCCCTTAAAGTGCACTTAGCAATACAAAACATGTATACTATAAGAACACTACTATGCAGTATGAATATTTTAATACCACTTTGGGCGTGATTTTGATGATGGAATAGCATTATAACAAATTTAGAAGCTCAAAATCGTTGATTTTTATATGATAGGTATTTCAGGGTTGTTGTTTTTCTGTAGGAATTTGACATGTTGCACTTCAGAGACAAAATTAGACTTTGATGTTTCAACAAAATGTATCGGTATAGGTGCCAAAAAAAGCTGATTATAACAAAATTAAAGCCGTTGATGAAAAGTCAAGCTCTCCCATGGCACAGAAGGGTTTAAGTATGCCTGAAAAGCTTATTTCTTCTTTAAAGGCACAGAAAACTACAGAAATATTTCAGTGCCATATCTGCTGCTCCAGGATGATGACAGTATCTTTGTCCTGACTTGAAGAAATTAATGTTTTATAAGGCAATAAAATGTCCTGGACTCTCCGCTGTCTGCTATTGATACAATAACCATGTAACAGGCTTATATTCAAAGGCAACCAGACTTTCGCTTGGTTATTTAAAGATGTTTAGACACCCATCCAGGAGTCTTTGTCAGTTATGTTGGCTCGCACGAGAGCAAGCCGGCAGAGGCTCTGGTTCGACCTGGATAGATGTCTAAGGCCATTTCTCAACATGTGTACTTGTGCGTTCTCATGTGCTCGTGTACTTGTGAAGCGTCATCAGCCTCAGCCCTAGTACTGCTACAATTCACAAGAACAAGAGGACTAAGAACGGACCAAGTCCCCGGATGTTGTTCTTGCCCCTCTCTCTTTACCCAGTATACGTCAGAGCAGACTTGTCTGTTCTTGAGATTGACAGCTGTCCCAGCATGCACTGCGGCGGCAGCAGCTTCCAGGTTAGCGCTGACAGAGCTCAGAGTATGAAGTTAAAAGTTCTCTTTTCTGTTGCTGTTGTTCCATGAAAGTACGTTTTAAGATATTTTGAGGCGAGAATATTATACTTTAAACGTCACTATATGGCCCATTTACTGATTTAGTGCATCATATAAAAAAATGTTTCAAAGTCGACAGGACCGCGACAACCAGTGGATCTCCAATGCTAACGGCAGTCAGGCTAACGTTAGCCCGTCTGCAGCAGCCCTCTCTCTGCATAACCGTGTGTGAAGGACCGCTGGCTCTGTTTTTTTTTTTTTTTTTTGGCAAAATGTTGATTTGCTTTGTGTTTATCTGACTGTTTTCACTATTATTCCCCCAATACATGAAAAACGTAAGAATTAATTATTATCTAGACTATTAATACCAGCTGAGCCTGTGTTTTTTTTTTTTTTTATTTATAAAAAATAAATAAAAAAAACACACACTCAGCTGGTCTGGAGCTGCATTTCATCATGGCGTACTCATGGTGACGTCATCAGTATGGTTCTGTTCCAATTGACCCATTGCTACATCCTCCCGTTCTCACCAAGTCCACACTTTCCTGTGTTGTTATCAAGAACATACTTGGCGAGGACACGAGTCTGTTCTTTCGTTCTTGTGAATCCAGAAACGGCCTCAATGTCTTGAAAAAACTGAGCGTGAGTCCGGTCGCCTTCCAATTCAAGCTCGATTTGTGGTTGCCATAACCTGTCTGACTGAGAATTTACAGACATATATTAATAAAATCACAGTTATTTCTTGAGTATGTATTTTCTTTGCCAACAAAAGACTTAGGATTTATGCTTGATTTTTCCAAAAACACTAATTGTAAACTTGTGTGGATTTTGTAGCTGAATTGAACTCTGAACATGCACAAAGAGTTGCGGAGTTGGAGCTGGCTATGCAACAGAAACTAAGAGAACGACAGAAGGTCTACGAGAAAGCATTCCACCAAGATGTAGAGAAATATCTTTCCACTGGATGCCTACAGAGCAGAGGTAACTCAAGACACTTAAACTGGCATTATAAGCTTTTTAGCAAAAGTTTCCGTTTATGATGATGCACGTATACACAAACACACACTCCTTCTTGTCTTGCTATATTTACTGAGAACCATGGGGTGGCTCCCATTGACTTCCATTGATTTTCAATCATTTCTAAACCTTTCCATTGCATAATCAACCTAAACTAAACTCACTTCACTCCTTAGCCTGAAACCTAAACGTTTAATAGAATAGGACCAGAAAATGTGGTCAGTTTTCAACAAGTCCTCAGTTTAATAGTGAAATTGGAAAAAAAAGTCCACCCACACAAGCAATTGTATGTATG